CCGAAAAAGAACACCCGAGACCACGGTACGTGACATCCCATCCATCGCACTTGAATTCATCTAGTTGTATTGCACCCTCATACTCCCACATCGCCTCTCAACTCATTACCTATGCTCCCCTGGAGTCTCATCAAATTTCGAATTTCTATGAGCAGTAATCCGTCTATACCTTAACGCTTATTAGTGCTAAACTCATCAACGGGTTTGGCACAGACTACTTTAGCCACTGCATTTGACACTTCTCGCGCAACCCTGTTTTTTCTATGACTACGTTCCTCACTTTACCACTTTCTACTGTGAAAGTGAAACGAAGATGTAGAAGTTTTGGTAAAAAAAATCACAAAAGCTTCTTACAAATTCGAAAACTCTGTGCCTTATAACTTCGTGCCTCTTACTAGAAAAATTTTCCTGAAAGCATAAACAAGAATAGAACAGCTCTGAGTAAACAAGGTAAAATAAACAAAAATTGCAAATAAATAAATCAAGATGTAAAGATCGTTCGTGAAGGCAATCCACCATTTAACCATAAATAAGATCATTACGTTAGTAAACTCTTCGGTGATAAATTGATTGCCGTGGAAGTCTGGGTTCTAAGCTGCGCCACGTCTGAGCTCTCTTTTAGAATATCTTTTAGCTCTGGTTGCTGATTGCTCAGAGGAAGGGATTGAAAGGGTGTCCAGTCTCAAGATGTGTTTTGAGAGCCAGCTGATACATCAGTCAGCTTTGCCCGCGCTGCCCTACCCGCACTAGCTATGCGCCCTCGAGGAAATCTTGGTTGACTGAGCAGGGAAAGATTCGATCCTCGGACTGAGCGTGATGCGATGGCTGAAAGTTGATTTCCTGTGCAGCTCGCTGTTTCTCAGGTACTCGCAGGGTCCTGCTGGTAGCAGTGGGACTGAACACTCGATCAGAGTGAACACTGGGGAAAGGTTCAGAGATAGGTTCATCGGGTAGGAAGTCTCTAGCAGAAAAACCATTGGGACTGGAAGGAGTCCCGGGGAAAGCCTAGGGCCTCAGAGCACATAAAAATCTGGGGGCCTGCAACATAGACCTGTAATCTTGGAGGCGCAGCATGATTGCTGCATGAGCCCAGTAACAAGACCATGAGCGTGAGCTTTTCGGTATATCAACGATAAACGAGCGAATGGAAACAGGTTGAAAATAAGTGGGCTTCCGCTGAAGGGAGATCTGTAACGCTCAGAGCGACTGCGTCGAAACCTTTAAAATTCCACAGAGCCATTCCACAATTTATGACTGGTCTAATGGCCGTTTGTCAGATTAATTCGAAATGAGTTCAATGGGAGCATGGTCCCAGCATAACGCAAAAAAGATAGGCAATACTGGCGTCGAGGCGAAGCCTCTCGTTGGCTTCATAATAGTCTA